CACACACACACACACACACACACACACACACACACACACACACCAAGTATTTGTTTTATTTATTCAAAGTCAGAACAAAGAGGGGGCAGAGACACAAAGCCCCTGCCGTGTAAATTTCCCCAGCAAACCTCATCTCCACCAAGACGTTTCACTCTCGCTTGGGTCCACTGTGAGTTCTGAGGTTCTTTCTGCGAGTCAGACGGAGAACTTACAACGTGTGAAGGAATGGGGCTGTAGCTAGGCTTTCTCAGCCTAAGACTGTGGGGTTTCTTTCGGGGGATCCTGAATCAGTGCTGGCCGCGGGAAAGGGAAAGGAAAAGGCAGACAGGCAGACTGACAGGCGGACAAGCAGGAAAGCAGGCAGATATACAGACACAGAAACAGACACCGGCACATGCACGTACGCACACACACGCACGCACGCGCACACACACGCACACACGCGCACACACACAAACACACACACACACACACACACACACACAGACAAACCAGAATAAAAAACAATAAAGCAAAAGCAAAAACCCAGCCAGGCAGGAACATAAATAATTTAAAAACAAACTCGAATGCTTTTGTATAATATGGTCACAGTTATAGAGACAATGCTATAAAAATGAAATATAAGATTCCGTTCTACCCGTTGCTGTATACTGTCAAGAGGAGAGAATAGACCTCATTACGAGTGAAGACTTTGGAAATCCATATAAAGCACTGCACTACAGTATACCGAACACGGCCTTGACTATATCAAACTGGAGGGGCTACATATCGATCTTCCCTTCGCGCCCCCCCCCCCAAACCCCCACCCCAACCCCAACCTTTTTCCTTCCGATATTCGCCTCGCCTCACGAAATCCCTCAGCATTCGACTGCTCGTCGCACGCCCCAATAATTACATTAAAGATGCACACCAATTTAAAGCGGATTTCCCCGGAAATCCACGAGCAGCGGCGTGTGCACAAGCGATGCGGTCGGGTCGTGTGGCGTTGGTGGGGGGATTAAACCGACGCCCATTGTCACAGAGCTCAGAATATGGACCCCGGACAGGTCGATGTCGATTAATGCTGGTAGGATATATACTGACAGGGTTTTCCGGCCCACCGGACATTGGACTGACCACTAGAGCTGTGGTTTCATGTTTACTGATGGTGTGTGTCGGCACAGCTAGGGAGGAGGATTGGGTTCACCGGCATCGAGAAACCATGAGCGTTTTGGCTTAAACGAGGTCGAGAGAATGAGAACACTAGAGAAAGAAAAATAAAACAAGAGTAGAGGAGGTGTAAAAAGAGCAGGCAGTGAAAGAGGAAGAAAGTGGTTGACTGGAGGGTGCTCTCGTGTGGTTTGCTCCTTCGTTCCCACAAAACGTTTATCTTTTCTCCTTCTTTTCTTTGTACATCGTTGGCACTTATATAGCCTATTTGATTTGCAAGTGACTTTCCCCTAACTTTAAAAAAGGAAAAAAAAAGGAAAGGAAAAAAAGTGCAAACGAAAGAGGACAAAGTACCACCACCACCACAACAACAACAATAGCACAACAACAACAACATTTTAATTCGGTTTTTTTATTAAGGAATTCTTGTGGCCCTCTTAACGGGTTCGGTATTATCGCAAACGGACGCTAAAATGTATCTACGACAACTTAAAAAAATCTGTGTCGAAAGGACAGTCAAACAGAATCGTAACCAAACATCCTCCTCTCCTACATCCTCTCACCGGCCTTCTCCCTCCTTTAGTCACCATCTACCCTTAAGGAGAGGCCGACGCATTGAGAACTTGACACTTATCAATAGTAGTACTTACGTTGCCATAGCGACCACGACACTTGCCATCAGAGGAGGTTCAAGCAAAACAACCTGAAAGGTAAAAGAAGGAAAATCGTTAAACTTCGCCAACATTACCGGGAGAACGTGGTTTTATAAGTATCGGAAATAAGAAAGACTAATACTACACTGGTGTTTTGGAAGGGCGTTTTTTCCTGAGTTCGACCGAGGATGCTGTCTCAAAAAGCAAACCGGTTTCTAATCTTTATAGCAACTCGTGCAACAAGGGCATAATTATTTTATAATTGTATCAAATGATATAGTATGTTATTATATCACATCAAATAATATAGAATATATGATAAAATATATTATATTATACGATAATACGTTATGTTATTATATCTTTGATATAGAGAGAAAGAGAGAAAACAAGACATAGAAGAAGGAGAAAAAGGAGAGAGAAAAATGCGTCCATGTATCACAATGTATGAGTGTAAGCATGCAGGATTGTGTATGTGTATGTGTGTATGGGTGTGTTTGTAGGCGTGTGTGTAGGCATGTGTGTGTGTGTGTGTGTGTGTGTGTGTGTGTGTGTGTGTGTGTGTGTGTGTGTGTGTGTGTGCACGCGCGCGAGCTCGTGAGCCAGGGAGCGAGCACATCTGTGGTCACAACAGTCCGATCCATAAAGTAACAGCTACAACATGTCAATGTGTCAGAATTGTTAAAACATCATCGTAGGACCCCCGACGCAGGCCGCAAGCTCTATAAACCGCAAGTTTAACTTTAACTTATGAACAAAACAATTTAATGTCCTTTTGAGCAAGAATTGTTTCAGGCTGCATTTCCAGCGTAAAGTGAGAAATAAAATGATCCACTTCGGCAACACATTAACAAGACTGAAAAATAAGCGAACAGCTCACTCTTTGATATTAGCACAAACGTAAACAAACACAGAAACACAAATACACTCACACACCCATATATATATATATATATATATATATATATATATATATATATATATATATATATATATATATATATATAAATACACAGTGTATAAGCACATCCAAAAACGCAATGATGTACTCACACGTAAGAGCGTTATGTCCTACCATTTCAGCAGAAACGTAAAAAATAAATCAAACACACACACAGACAAGCGAAAACATACACAAACAAACATGTTCACAAACTTCAGAGCGGTGAGTCCTATCGTCCCAGCAGAGTTGGCTTTACAAGATCCACTACCAATAATTACGATCATTATCTGAATTATGATGCCTCACGCGGAAACGGGTCTGGGAAACTAATGATAATGCACACATTGTGAGCACCACTGACAAGATAAATGCGTTCCTTGTAAGATAAACTTCCGCCAATCCTACCCCACTTCATAACCTCCTGATATTTCCTAGATAATAAAAAGCTGTAATTTTCCGTGGAAATGGATTCAGATATTCCCATAGTTTCGCAACTGTTTTCAAGTTACAAGGGAGTAATATGATTTTGTTTAATTTGCCGATTCGAGAAAGCTTCAGCATCAAACACATTCTGCGTTTCACTTAGCGCCATTTGGAAGGCCAATATGTTTGAACATCCCTATAATAAGGTTGCGATTTTTTTTCCAATCCTGTTGCTAAATATCACTCTTTCGTTCTCTATCGGAACGGTTTGTCCTTTCAAAACTTCCTGATTCTCACCCCCTCACCACTCCCGCCATGTTTCTCTCTGTCCATCTCCTTTTCACTCTCCTTCTCTCTCTCTCTCTCTCTCTCTCTCTCTCTCTCTCTCTCTCTCTCTCTCTCCCCCTCTGTATAATATAATAGTGTTTGTAACTGCCTGTCTAAGTCCAGATGGTTTCCTCGAATTTTATGTGAGCGAGACGTGCAGGGGGTATTCGGGGATCTGGGAATTTTTCTTTAAATTAAAGAATAACTGAGACGCGATAATCCGGGAAAATGCAGGATACAGGAAACTGAGAAAAGGGGAGAGAGAGCGAGAGAGAGAGAGAGGGGGGGGAGGAGACAGAGAGAGAAAGAGAGGTTGGGGGCAGACCTACAGGCAGATAGGCATACAGGCAGACAGACAAACGGACAGAGATGAGAGAGACAGAGAGACAGAGAGACAGAGAGACAGAGAGAGACAGGAGTGAGAGAGAGAAAGAGGGAGAGAGAGAGAGAGAGAGAGGGGGGGGGATAGACAGAAACACAGATAAACAGAGAGAGAGACGAAAAAAACAGAATACAAACTACAAGGTTGACACAACGTTTCATAACTGTCGAGGCGACAAGATGTGTCACTGCTAATCTCGACCGCTCTAGTTCCCACACTCTCATCTGACACTGGCAGCGATCAAGAAGGCTTTGTCACTGTCAACCCTCCTGTCCCTTTTGACTCATCCCAATACACCACACACACACACACACACACACACACACACACACACACGCACGCACACGCCAAAACAAGGACAATTCCGGAAAAAAACCGGAAAAAAGAATCGAAAACAAAACAAACCAATTGGAAGTACACTGAACGAAAAGGCAACAACTAGGGACTCATGCATACGCTTTCAAACCTTTACATCCCCTGCCTATTAAAATGGACTCCTGACGCACATTTTGGGTTTTCCTCTAAACAGGATAATGTCCCTAGGGGACGTAAGTAAAAGAGAAACCAAAAACTGCGGTATGCATATAAATGCACCTTGGTTAGATATTTCTTTTATCCTTCAGGAACTGCCAGTCTCTCTCTCTCTCTCTCTCTCTCTCTCTCTCTCTCTCTC